GGACGCGAACCGCAGTCGACTACATGGGAGTCCAGCAACATAGCCATTACGCTAACTGCTGGTCCCAATCAAAAATGTGATTGATAGGAATGTTTGATAAATAATTATTTATTCTGTGCAAATAACATAATTGAGATCTTGTTTCATAAATTGATAATCAGAAGTGAGAAATGAATAAAATTTGCATGTAATTTTCAAATGTTTTAATCTACCAAAGAACTATAATTGATGTTTTCTTACTTTCCCTAAATTCCTTTATGTTTAAAATTGAATACCCATTACCACCTACCACTCCTTACCCTTAATCCAGTTCCAGAAAACAATGAATGGTTTATAAATGCAAAAATGGCTCCTATGGGAGTATAATAAGTCATCTGCACATGGAGTGGAATACTATCTTCCAAATCTTATTTGCTTTCAATAGGCTTTGCCAAGAAGTCTTCTTTCTCAAAGACATTTCACAAGACTGAAAAAAGTTAGTTGTCTGGGTCAGCAGCTGGCATAATGGTTGGGGCACTGGACCCCCGTTTGGTTGACTTCAGTTTGAGTCCCAGACCAGCTTGAAAATCACAGCAAGTGTGTGTCCTTGCATGCCTAGAGTCCTGGGAGGAGAGTGGAGGAGTGGGGATCGCAGCATGGCCATCCCTGCTGGGGGATGATTCTCCTCCTCTCTCTCTCTCTCTCTCTCTCTCTCTCTCTCTCTAAGTGCATGCACCCTATGGCAAAAACCTTAAAAAGAAAAACAAAACACTTAGTTGTGCATGTTTACCCTGCACATTCCCCACATAAAACCACTTTTTCCATATTTGATCTACCCAATACACAGATCAACAGCAATTGGTTACATATATTTGTAACCTTATTTTTTCACATATTTACAAATGGATCCACTAGAAATTAAAATATTTTTATTAGCTCAGAAGGCAAATAAAGCTCAATGATGTGATCCTCATGTATTATATCTCCAGCCTCATGTCCTATTCTCCAATGTCAAGTCTATCCTTTCTCCTTTGGTCAAGTGATCATATTTCCTGAATCCTCCCCACCGTCTAAGGGTCAGCATGACCTGAACTCTGTGGTTAATGTGTGTATGTGTTTATGCATGACTCATGCCTTATTTTGGCCTGTGACTTTTGCCTGGAAGAGTGTATTTATAGGGTAATTCCTACTCCCTCGAACAGTCATTATTCATTTCAGTAATAAAAGCACACCTACATGGGGAAAAAGAAAAGAACAGCTATCAGCGTTTGTAATGTATGATATGAATAGTAATAAACATAACTAACGTTTACTGGGGATGCTTATTTAACACATGGCCCCTCCCCAGTTTACATGCCACCAGAGCACTGCCTAGCCCCACCTGTCCCCAGGCCTTGGCTGGTTGTCCTGCTTCCTATTTGGAGTTAATCTAATAATAGCCATTTCTTTTTTTCCCCTAAGAATGATTTGATTTAACTTTATTTATTTATTTTTAATTTGATCAGAGAGGGACAGAGTGAGAGATAGAGAGAGAGGTAAAGTGAGAAAGCAAGCCGCCAGGTCCAGGACTTGAACAGTGGTCAGCTATGAAGGAGTCCAGCGCCCTTAACCGTTATGCCAGCTGCCGGCCTCAGTAATAGCCATTTCTGCAGCCATGAGGCCCCACTTGCTGCCACCACAGTCACAGTAAACTTAGGAGCTGTCTCAGTCATCTTCTAAGGAAAGAGACCTTGCACAGGTGCACTAGCCAGCCTAGACACGGGAGGTTCTGGGTTCAGGAGGGCCCTGGTAATGTGGCCCTGGAAGTGCACTGTGGAGCCCACTGACTACTGACAGGAGATGGGAAGGAGCCAGCAGATGATCCACACATGCTTTACCCCATGAATAGACCATTCCAAGATGCAGTGGTTCCACACAGCCTCTCTGGATTTGTTCCACAGCGCCAAGCAACCGGCTACATTTTCTTGCCATGACCAGCCCATCAACACAACATTTTGTATTTATCTTCCTCATTCTCTGCCTCACTTTCCTTTTCCCATCCATCACTTCCCTGGGATTACACCCCATGTTCCTGTTACTATGATTGCTTTTCAAATCAACACACAATTTAGTGGCTTACACCTACAACAATCTTGTGTTATTTGTCACACTTTCTGTAGGTTGGGAACTCAGAGGGTGACTTGTCTCTGCTCCACAATGACTGAAATCCTGGGTGGAATTCTTGAAGGGGAGGCTGGAGTTATCTGAGACTCATTCGCTCACATGCCTGGTGGTGAATGCTGACTGCGCTGGAGGTACCTCGCTGGCAGTATCAGCCAGAAAGGCAACATGAGGT